AATAAAACCAGTTGGCCGAGAAGGGGCTTGCTGATCGTTGCCAACTTCCCGATGCCATGCGAAGGGCTGCTGGCGAGCGCGGGGAGCTTACTCGACCTCAGTTTCAGCTCGCGGCAGCTGCCAGGAATTCAGCCGGTAGAAGAGCAGAGGGCGATCATGCACTAAGCTGCTGGCGCGAGGCATTCATGGCCATGCTGGACCTCATCCACGCGCCCAACCCCGCGCGGGAACAGTACTCGCAGATTATTGCACAGAGAATGCGGCCCCTAGAAGACCTGAAGACGAAGAAATTCCAGATGGGAGGTGCTTGGTTTGCCTTCTACAGTCGTTTGGATTACGAGTGGTAATGGGAAGATGACCAGCTTCACGACTGCGGCTGGTTTGCGGCGCGGGAGGCCGCGAAGCTCGCGCGACAGTAATCCATGCAAAGAGTCAATGAGCAAAGTCGAGCAAAGTCGATCGATCAGGAAGATCCCAAGGCACACGCGTGGAACAAGTTGCCATGCGCGTGGGCCCAGGCGGAGACGCACCCGGCGAAGGGCATCAAGTCGAGCGCGACAGCGCTCAAAGCTGACTTGAAGCAGTGGCTGATGATATGGAACCCCAGTTCTGAAGAGAGTTCCTCTGGCGCAGGCCTGCGCCTTGCCGGCGTTGGCGACAAACTGCAACCGAGGCCCCTTCAAAAGAAAACAAAAAACGATTCGCGCAGATGCCCTCGCCTTCAACGCGAAAAGCGCCGCGGGGATTGACGGCTTCGGGCCGGAGAACATGCCGCTGCCCTCTGTCGCTCGTCCATCTGCGCGCGGTGTGCCATGGAGGTTGCGGAAAGGATAATAGAAATGCCGAGCCAGATGGCCCGCGCTGTTCTCCCGAGACTTCCCGGACCTGCGAGGGGGGGCACCGGTTGATAGGTGCGATGACTGACGCGCCGAGAGCGCACTGGAGGTGTCGCAGAGATGCACAGATACAGTGGCTTTGCATTACCGCCATGCGACGGCGCGCAGGAGTTCGAAGCGCGCTGTCTGGACTCAATCGGTCACGGCAGAAGCTGGCAGAGCCACGTTACGTCGCTCGGTCACGGCGACGCTTATTCGGCGACGCTTATTTCGAGGAAGGCAACCGAGGCGACAGCGCGCGCCACGCCCTGGAAGACGCACGAGGGGATGAGGGCCCTCAAGATTGGACAGGTTGCCCCGAGATTTGTAAACACACATCAAAGGTCTGATTGCACGTTGCTCTGATGCTACCGCCATGGCGATTTTGTTCACATGCGGTGCTCACGATAAACTGTGAACTCTGTGGCGATCACTTGCTATTTCGGCAATCGCGGGCGACGGGGATCTTCAGGCACCAGTTACAGGAAAAAGAGGCGGTCAGAAAGATCACGGCGACAGTCAGGCTGCCGTGTAGGCCCCCCGCGAAGCTGGGCCTTGAGCTGAGCCCGAACAAAGCGCATGCGATTGCGACGACAGCGGGAATGGCCAAGGAGGGTGAGCTCAACCTCAGTAACTCACAGTTCAAGCGCGCCAGACTTGTGCGACAGCTTGGGCATGATCTGCGAATGAGCGGAACCCTGGGACCATCAGACCCTGAAACCGAAGGCCCCTGGACCCTGGGACCATAAGAGCCCATGGCCCCGCGACCCCAGGATCCTACGACCCTAAGACTCTAAGACCGTGAGACCCTATGACCCGACGATTCTAATACACGAAGACCCGAATGCCCCGGGGCACAAGGACCCCACGACCCTGCGACCCTAAGACCCTAATGGCCTATGTACTGACGGCCCATAGACCTCATGGCCCCGAGACCATCGCACCCTAAGGCCCTAAGACCCCAAGGCCCGCCGTCGCCCAGACCCTAGAGGCCCGCTCAGACACTCAGACCCCGCGACCCTAGGACCGTAAGACCCTGGGACCCTGCGACCTAATAACCGCAAGGCCCTAAGACGCTAAATCCTGAAGACCCGAATATTCCATGACCCTCAAGCCTGGGGACCCCGACACTAAGACCCTAAGGTCCTACGACGCTGAGACCTTAGAGACCCTGGGACCGCAAGGCCCTGAGACCCTGAGGCCCTAAGACCCGAAGACTCCAAGACCCTAAGACCCTGAGGCCCCCAGGCCCTAAGGCCCTTAGGCCCCAGACACCCGAGTACCCCAGGACCCCGAGGCCCCGAGACCCTAAGGCCCTAACACCCAAGGCCCTCGAGGCCCTGAGGCCCCGCGGCGCCGAGATCCTAAGACCCTAAGACCCCAAGACCGCAATGCCCTAAAACCCTGAGACCCCAAGGCCCGAAGTCCCAAGGACCCTGAGACCCTCGGGCCCTGAGACCCTGAGACCCGTGGACCCTAAGACCACCCCCTAGGACCACCCCCTAGACCCGAATACCCTAAGACCGCGATGCCCAAGACATAGGACCCTAAACCCTAAACCCTAAACCCTAAGCCCCCGAGGACAAAGCAGTGAGGGCATGCAAATTCATTTGTTTGGGGGGAACCTATCTCGGGAACCGGGCTGACCGCGGCAGGGCCCCCAGACCCTAATACTTTGTGCAGGCCTAAAAAACTTAAACCCTGAACCCCAAACCTCGTAGTCGGCCAACCCCACGCGCTGGGGAACCACCATGTTGCGGAAGGGATGGCGTATCACTGCGCAGAGAAGTAGAGTCAGCTGTGTTGGGTGCAGGGTGATTAGTTTCAGGAGACTTGCTCAAGGAGGCAGGCAGATGTGCACATTGTTCAAATCGGGTGAGCTTGCGTCTTTGGCATGCACGACCAAGGTCCAGGGCATGAGTGGCACAGCTCCAGAAGGTTAGAGCACTTTCTGGACATGCCCACGTTGGGACAGCAAGGGGGAGGAGTAGGACGATGGATTCTCTTCATTCGCACTGTCCGAGATCTGGCGCGACCTTCGCTACTGACGAGTACCCTCTGGCATACTGGCTCAAAGCGAAGTGGGAGAAGTGGGTCAAACCCAAAGCTATGGCCCTTGCTTGTATGCGCGCGCTGAAGCACACGAAGTCTTGGCAGTCCGTGCAAGGACGAGCTGGTGCAAATCCTATCACACTGACAAGAGTGGGATGACGTGCTGAGAGATGGAATGTCGGGTCACGGGGAGAGGCTCGCGCCTTGACTTGAACGGTCGTGGGGCTGGCACATGGAATATGATAGAAATCTCGTCTGCGCGGCGGATTCTTGGAGGTACTCAAGGCAGGAGAAACATGGAATGGCTCAAAAAAACACCGGCCCTGGAGCCTGCTATCAAGCAGATCGCGCCGCTACGTCGAGAAGGTGACTACAAAGGTGCGGGGCGTCTACGTACGTGGCTAGCTGGAGGCTTCTTCTATCAAGTCCGCCTGCATGCACTTGAAGCGGCGGCCTCCCGGGCATGTGCAGTATAGGGAGTTGAGGAAGGCACGGATCTTCATCGGTGTTTTCAGTGCGACTGGCACGTCACAGAACGATCAGATTGGAGCGGTAACGGGAGGAAGCTGTTTGGGGGACGAAATGAGTATGGTCAAGACTACCCATGTACGGTGATGCTGCGCAAGACTATTTTTCCAAATCCGCTCCATGATCATCCGAATGCTGTACCGCATCGCGCTATCCGATGGCACTTGTTTACCGTACCTAGCTAATAAGCGGAATTGTGCGTGTGGATAGCAGCTGCCTCTTCACACACTGCGAGATGATGGCTCGTGGAGGTTGGGCGTTCTGCATGATTGACGATGTTGGCAACGTCATAGCTGCAGCTTCAGGTCCAATGCCCTGCCTAAGGTCACAAGGACAGTTGCATCTGGTCACAGATCGTATAGAGCTTTACATAGCTGGCGAGATGGATTTCTTTGCGGCACGCAGTAAGACCACCAGTATGCTGGATTGCGGGTCGTGTCCTGGAAAGCGGTCGAGGATTTGGGAGGATGTCAAATAGATACTGAATGGGTACCTTCGCATGTACCTCGGACGAAAGCGGTCGATATGCAGTTCCCCATGGCGTACTGGCGCGGCAACAAATAGGTCGAATTCTACGCGAAGTGCGGTGTGGCCATGCACCCCCGCGAGATGCATCAAGAGAAAACTCGCCAGATGCGCGAGTAGGCGTCGTCTATGACACTAAAGACGGTGCTGAATATTCGACGCCGATGCTCTCGAGATACATGGGCAGATGTGGCGAAGCTGGGTATATCGACAGGCCTATCGACCTAACTCTGAATGGTGACAACGGGCATCTAGTGCGTAGGCTCAATGTGAGATGGGTTTGCGCGAAGTGCGGAGGGAATCGCGCTCGGAGGTGCGACCTGGTCACCTTGAGCTGTGGAGGACCCTCTAAGAGGGTCCAGTCTGCTCATGTGTCGAGCCGCCTCTGGAAGACGGGCCCGATGGTTTAGTGTGTAGATTGTGGTGCAAGCAGAGCCTTCATTATAGCCAGACCGTGTCTAGGTAGACCTCCCCTGGGTTCTCCGAGGCACTTCAAGAGGAAGTACCTTTATCAAGGGGAAGGGCCGTCGGGCGAGAAAGTAGGCAATGGGCTTCACAAGCCTGTCCCTATCACCTTGCGTAGCTGATTATGTGAATTAACGGTTCTGATGTATCGCGTTGTTGGCTTGGTGCCTCGTGTTCGGAGCCCCTCGTCGTCATCGGACGCCTCCTCCTCCTCCTCCTCCTCCTCCTCCTCCTCCTCCTCCCTCTCCTACCTCTGGTAGTGGTGAGCGAGTGGGGGAGCTGCGCCACGGAATCTCGAAATCTTCGCTACCGTCGCCGCCGAGCTTCCTCACACAGAAACTGGGCCTGCCATTCTTGCTCTGACTCCAACCAGACCTAAGACATAATAACATCCCTCAAGAACATGAGGCCCTCCGCCGGCCAAACTGAACAATATTCGAGGGTGCCCTCCCCCAGGACTCGCAAGAAACATCCAGCAAACACGAAGAACAGTAGGGCACCCTCCCCGAACCGACCTCCATCGTATACCCTGGTCCGACCGTACGTCATTCCGCTTCAATTACGCCGCACACCTCCCTCGTCAACGACTGAACCAACATCCTTTGTCCGCCCTGCTCGCACATGCTGGCTAAGATTCTGTAAAGGAAGACATCTGGTTGCAGTCTTATCCAGCGCATTTCTCTGAGCAGCGACAGAGCCCTCTGCCACTGGTCGCGTTTCTGGCACGCGCTGATCGTAGCGCTGTAGCTGACTGGTGCTGACCCGTGGCTCACTGGCCACGACATTTATCTCTTCGAGATGGCACATTGGGTCAGGGCGGAGATGCTGCCAGGAGGATTTCATGATAGCGTTGGGCTCGAACTTCGTCTCTGCTGTTGCTGCCTGCAACTGCAAGGTGCTGCTGCCTGCGGCATTGCTGATGCTGTTTGCAGTTGCTGTGTGCTGCCGCTGCTTACTGCGGACTGCTGCTGTTACGTGTTGCTGCTTAAGGCTGCAGGGTGCTGTTTCTCGCTGCTCCTGCTAGTCGATCCTGCTGCACGTCAGTGAATCGAGCAGCGAGGAGCAAGGCGCTAAGACTCAGGGTGGAGGGGAGATGTGGGAGAAGCGAACAGCGATTATCAAGGAACAAGGAGCGAGAAGCAAGGAGTCAGAAGGGAGGAGTGACGGCTGAGGAGAGAGAGAGAGAGAGACAGAGAGATACGAGGAGGGATGAGCGAGAGCCGAAGAGGGGGAGTCAGGCGCCAAAAATTAAGAGAGAGAGAGAGAGAGGGGAGGAGCCGGGAAAAAGGAGCGGGAGAGCGAGCGGATCCAGGAGAGAGCAGCGAGGAGCGAGGAGCGAGCGAGGAGCCAGGACTGAGGCTTCAGAGACGGCCAGCACACGACACGAACGCTGCAATTGCCTCGGTGTGCATGTGACCAAAAACCTCGTCTCCCCCTGGGTCACTCATGGGGCTAACTTGGGGCCTTCCTTCTTGGGGTTGCCTGGGGCTCTCCAGCGCCTCTGGGTACCATCCTGTGGGACGCACAGAGACATACTAGTACTAGATGTCCTCCTTGGAGGCACGCGTCCGACCCGAACATATACTATACCCATCTTGTAGTATATCGTTTCCCGTGCGTTGTGGCCACGAAGCGCCCGCCACGACGAATGTACTACAAGATTTCTCGGTGCGCACATCGCCCCTGGGGAGGCGACGCACACTTAGTAAGTATTAGTGTTTTTGGGTGGCGCCGAATCTTGGGGACTTCAGGTACTTTTGCGGGAGTGTTGGGGCCATCTTGGCGCAGTGTTGGGCCGTGCTGGGCCGCCTTGGGCCTTGGGGCAGCTTGGAGGCTGGCCAGGCCTGCAGTAAACCCTTCTCATGAGGACGTACGATGAAGATGCAGGGGCCTTGGAAGGCCATTTCGAAGCGGCTCGATCGGGGCGCGGCCAACGAAAGCGGCCAAGGGTGGACAAAGGAGGGAAGGATGCAATGGTAGCCTTGGGAAGGTTGCCCATCCTTACTATGCGGGGTGACTGCATCTTGGGCCATCTCGGGCTTGTCATGAGCCCCCTTGGGGGCTCATGCGGGGATCTTTGGCCCTTTTGAGCTGAGCTGGGACATTGGAGCAGCCATGTGGAGCCGAAATATGGGGAGTGGTAGAAATGCACGAAAAACTGGAAAAAGGGATTCCACCAGTTTCGCATGTCGGTGGCCCACGGCGGAACCACAGTGGAGCCTCTCGGGGCCACATCGGCCTCATCTTGAAGCGCTGTGGAGCCTCTGACCACGCCAGGCCCTCCGAGAGCTCCAGGCCCGTCCGTACAGAGACGTCTTGGCAGCGCCCCGGGGCTCACAGGGGCTCGCAGAACTGCTCCTGGAGAAGCCTGGTGCGGCTTCTGGACTCCTCGAGCTTTCCCAAAGGCCTCCAACGAGGCTCCGGCGCTCGCACGCGCAGGGTCCTGCAGTGCAGAAGAGAATAGTATGAGCCCGTGCACTTGTGAGCAAAACAGCAGGCGTAGTGCTCGTGTAACCGTGAGGCGCTCTATAGGCTATATGCAGGCCGTCGTGGTCTCCTGTGGCGTCAGCTCGATGTTTGTGGCTCCCTTGGGGTGCCCTCACCAGGAGCATGTGCACTGGCCATTGGAGCCTGACGGGGCCGTCCTAAGGGCCTTATCGTCTGGCGGGGTCCAGGGGAAACTCGGTGGCCCTGGCCGCAGGCATCGGGGTGCGCCTCGGAGCTACTCTCTGGGAGGCCCATTCGCGCCGTCCTGGCTCGTGCAGAAGCGCCCTGGCCCGTCTGAGACACTGGGCGCCTTCCCGGAGCCCAGGCGGTCTGGGGCCCCACGACCGGGGCCTCGTCGGAGCCGCCTGCCGACTCGGGCTACGCGCGCACGCACTGCCGTCGACGTCCTACTACAGGCAGCGCCTGTACCTAAGAAGCCTTAGCGGAGGCGAAACGATGTGGCGATGATGTCTGGTCGATGTCGGTTGGCGGCTGCGTTGTCGGGGTCCTGGGCTCCCTCCCGACTCTGGGATTTGGCTGAAGTAGTTGGTGAACATTGTGGGCCGACTGCCGTGGGAGGCTGGGCTCCCCGATTCCCTTGTTCCCAGTTTCGGACGTTGGCTGAAGGAGTTGGCGAAAGATGGAGGAGGCGGAGGTAAGGAAGACCGAGGAGGATTAGGAGGAGGCAACGTGGAGAGATGGAAGAAAGTGACGACGAGGAGGACCGCGACACACATGTGTAGAGTTGTGCAAATACACATCAGACTTACACCCTCACATGTGCACATGCATGATGATAATCATAGTCATAGCCATGTTCATATACGTACGACGCGGGGAAACGTACGGGAGATCCCTGACGGCAGAAGCCCGTGAATACCTTTTGCGGGGCAGCGATGGGAGAACAGGAGCACCGATCGGGGACAAAGACGGGGGGTACAGATCGGGGAGAACCGTGGGGGGCAACGATGGGGCAACAATGGAGGCCAACGATGGGGGTAACGATCAGGGGCAACGATGGCTACAACGATCGAGGCCAACGATGGGAGGCGACGATGGGGGGGCAACGACGGAAGCGACGACGGGGGGCAACGATGGGGCAACGACGAGGACCTACGACGTGGGGGCAACCATCGAGGGGGCACGATTGGGGGCAACGAATGGGGGGCAACGATGAACCACCGATCTGGGGCTACGATTGGAGGCAACGACGAGCCATCGATCTCGGGGGCGGAGCATGGGGGGGCAACGATGGGGGGCGGCGACGATGAGCCTCCGACTTCAGGGGCCCACTCCTCCTCCTCCTCCTCCTCCTCCTCCTCCAACTCCTCCTCCTCCTCCTCCTCCTCCTCCTCCTCCTCCTTCTGCTCCTCCTCCTCCTCACACCAGGCGCTCGATCAAACAAACAAGTCAATGTGCATGTGTATACAACAACTCGTATATATATATATATATGTCGAACATATAGCCGTGGCAGAAAAAGCTGATTACGGAACAACCGAATCACAGCAGGAGTAGCAAAACACATGCACTCTTGCTGCCGGGAGTGTCTCTCCGAACGTGTTTAAACCACTCGCGTGGCAACTCGTGCATCTCAGCGAGGCTACTCCGCAGTGGCTGGAGGGCCAGGCTGTGCGGGCAAGGCAGGCTTGAACCTCGGCAGGCAGCCAAGGCGGACAGGCATGGCGCCTGTGAAAATAAGAGAAACCTAAGTAGCTCGGAATCCCCCTCGAGTAACAGTTATATAGGGAGTAGTGTGTACTGGAGGATGGGCAACTAAAAATACTGCTGCTGTGCATACGTGCTGCTGATTGCTCCTGCTTGCAGGCTATGATTTCTGCCTCTTCTGCTTCCTGCTCCTTGTTTCTGCTGTCTGCTGGTGATTATTATTGGCTGCTGCGGCTAGTTCTGCTGCTTTGCTTGCTTGCTTGCTTGCTTCGTCCGCTGGCTCAGGATAGTCTTGATGCCATCCAGGGACCTTCTGAGGGCTGGCAGAAGGCTGTGATGGGCTTGTTGTTGCTGATTGCTGATGAGTGTCTCTCTTGTCTGCCGCTGTAAGCTCTACTGGTGCTGGCTCTGCTGCGTGCTCCCTGACTGCGGTCCGTTGGGGTCCATTAAGGCGTCGGGGTCCTGTTGGAGAAGCCGTCTGGACATGTCTCGAGGAAATGTTGCGGAGGTCCTTGGGCCGTCTTGGAACTCTGGGGCCATCGGAAATGCCAGCAGACTGTGCTACTGAGACGGCATGCTGGCCCTCTTGCTGGCCAGTGGGGACAAAGTGGAAGCCCCTCGGGCTCCTCTCGGCACCGCCTGGCGCCAAGAAGCGACAAATGCCGGGCGAGCACGACAATCTGAAGAAACTTGACGAGCTTCGTCTTGTGTGGGCCCTGCGCGGGGCCATCTTTGGGGCGTTCTGGGCCACTCGCGCCGTTGGAAACTCCTGTTAGCTCTCTTGGGCCATCTGGGGCCTGACTGGGGGCAGCCAGAACGACCGTGGGCCGCCTCGGGCCCGCCTAATGCCGTCGGGGCCCGCCGCTAGAGCTCGGCTCTTCCGCTCGCGCTGGTCCCCGCATCGTTGAGCAGACGATGTTGGGCTCCAGCTTCGCCTCCCACATCTCGCCGAGCAGCGCCAGAGCCTGCTGCCACTGCTCGCCCTTCTCACTCGCGCTGGTAGCAGCGCTGTAGCTGATGGCATTGGGCTCCAGCTTCGCCCCATGCATCTCGTTGAGCAGCGCTGAGGCCTGCTGCCACTGTTTGCTCTTCTCGCACGCGCTGATCCCAGCGTTGTAGCTGACGATTGATGACCCGAAGACTGCGTCCACAAAATCTTCACGAATTGGCAGGTGATTGTGAACATTCTGCCGAACGGCTGGCATGATAGCTAAGGCTCGATCCTCGTATTCCGCGCATGCTGAAAACTCAATGCTGCTGCTTGCTGCCGCTGTTCTGTGCTGTTGGTACTGCTCGCCGCTGATGCTTGCTGTTAAGTCTCGACCCTCGTATTCCGCGCATGCTGGAAACTCAGTGCTGCTGCTTGCTGCCGCTGTTCCGTGCTGGCGGTACTGCTCGCAACCGATGCGTGCTGTTGCTGCTTGTGGCGGCAGGTGGCTGCTGATGGCCAGATCTGCTTGGTACACGTGCGGCTGCCTGCCGCCTTGTGCTGCTCTTGCTGGTGCTGCGCGCTTCCGCTGCTGCCATCTGCCTCGTGCTACGTGCTGCTGCCGCTCGCTGCTGCTGCTGCTGCTGCTGGTTGATGCGACAGAGTGCTGCTTCTCGCTGCTTCAGTTTGCTGGCGCAACCTCCTGGCAGGAGAGGATCGAGGAGTCAGGGTCGAGGGGGTCGGGAGGGGAGGGGCAAGAATCGATGAGCGATCAGCGACGAGCGAGAGGGGAGGAGCGGCGGCCGAGGAAGGAGAGGCGAGGAAAGAGCTGAGAGTGGGGAGGGACCTCTTAAGGGTCTCTTGGGGCCTCGTGAGGGGAGGCTTCTCGGGATGTCTCTCGGGGGCATATTAGGGGCCTCTTGGGGCCAGATTTGGACCTTCTTGGGGCCTTATTTGGGGCTTCGTCGGCTCCCATGGGGCCTCCAAAGCCTTCTGAAGACATCTGGACCTGGGGCCACCGGGAGCTAGTTTGGATGAGTCTGGGGCAGTTCGGGGGATGGCTTGAGGCCATGCTGGAGCGTTCTTGGACCGCCTTTGGCCCGTCGAATGCCTCAATGGCCTCGGCGCGAATGTAGCCAAACATCTGGTCTTCTCGTGGTAGCTCGCCGGACTCTCTTGAATAGCTGGCGCGGCACTGGAGCTCTCTAAGAGATCTTCCCTCGGAAGCCTCTTGGAGGCGGTTTGGGGGATATCTTGGTGCCTCTCGGGGCCCCGGGGGCCTCTTGGGGCCTGATGGGCTTTATTAGGGGCCTCCTGGGGGGGCCTCTTGGGAGCCTGACATCGGTGTCGGGGGTCATCTTGGCACGTTGGAGACGTCGCATTGCAGGAGGGACTCGTGAGTGACGGTGGGCAAAATTCGCCAGCGCCCATGCGCGTACATGGCTGAGCAAAGTGACGACGCGTCGGTAGCAACAGGTCCAGATGATCACAACCTGTTCTCCAATAGGGGTCGATGATGACGACCTGCGTCGGACATGTAGAAAACAAGAGGAGGAGGAGGAGGAGGAGGAGGAGGCGGAGGAGGAGGAGGAGGAGGAGGAGGAGGAGGAGGGAGGAGGAGGAGGAGGAGGAGGAGGGGGAGGGGGATGAGATATATGTGTGACCCCTCTGGTCGAAGCCCCTCTGGTCGCAACAGCACCTGCGTGACACACGCCCCCGCCCCGCCGGCGGAGGCCCGACGGCCGAGCTGCGGGCAGCCGCTGAACATGTACAATGCAGACGCACACTCCTCCTCCTCCTCCTCCCTCCTCCTCCTCCTCCTCCTCCTCCTCCTCCTCCTCCTCCTCCTCCTCCTCACACACCACACACACCACACACCACAACACACACAACACACACACACACACACATGGACGATCACGCGGGCCCCACAGCGGAGGAAAAGGGAGCCGAGTGATGGCCGTGGGGCGTGAAGTGTGCGAGGCTGAAGGAGGCGCCGTCGGGAAACAATGCTGTGCTCTGTTGTCAGGTGCCCTATGCACGGGGACTTTGCAGCCGTGCATGGAGACATCATCAAGATTTCGTTTGCTACCGGTGGATCTGGCAAAGCCCTGGTTTGCAATGTCCTGGTTTCTGGCGGCCTGGTGTTACGGCTCAGCGAGGAGTCTGGAGTTAGGGGGAAGGAGAGTGATGAGCGACCAGCGAGGAGCGATCAAAGGAGGGGCGACGGCCGAGGAGAGTTGGCGACGAGGGTGGCGAGAGAGTCGTTGAGGATGAGGGTGGAGGAGATACGAGCAGCCAGAGGGGAGAAGCGAGGGGCCAGGGGAGAAGAGCAAGGAGCAACGAGGAGGTGAGAAAAGAGGAACACTGAGCGAGATGAGAGGGGGGCGACGAGCGAAGGGGCGGTGGGCGAGGGGCGCGGGGGGAGGAGCAGGGCGCGAGACGCGAGGAGGGAGGCCCGAGGAGCGGCCGGCGCACGAACCTCCCAATGGCCTCAACGCACGCGTGGCCGACAATCTGGTCTACTCTCGGATCGCACATGGGGACTGTTGCGGCCACTTTGGGGCGTGCGGCTGCTTGCTGCATCTGCATGCTACCGCTGCTGCCTGCTCTGCGCTGCGCGCTGCGTGCGACTTATCTGCCGTTCCCTGGCGCCGCCTGAAAATGCAGGGTGCTGCCTCTCGCTGCTTCTGCTTGCGGACGCAGCCAGCTGCTAATGAAAGGGTCGAGATCCGCGCTCCCAATGCCACGATCCTATGTTGCAAAAAGCTGTGGGCCCGCGATCCCGAGGCCACGATTCCCTGGAACAAAAAACACGTGTGACCCGCGCTCCCAAAACCCAGTACAGCAAAAAAGAACTGCTGCCCCGCGCTCTCGAGGCCACGATCCTGACTACGGTCGGACCTAAGCCAGAAGAACACCCCTCAAGAACATGCGACCCTCCGCTGGCCAAAACACACAGACCACCCAAGGGTCCCCTCCACGGGATGTACAAAACAACATCCAACGGGCACGAAGAATTAACACTCTGGTACCCTCCCCGAGCCGACTTCGATCTTATGCCTCGGTCCGACTGTACAACAAAAGAGCACTGCTGCTCTGGGCTCTCGAGGCCAACATCCGGAGTAACAAAGCGATGGATCCGCGCCCCCGCGGCCAATACGCAACGTGCCAAAACGATGAGTCCGCGCTTTCGAGGCCCCGCGCTCCCCCGAGGCCACGACCCAGCAGGGCAAGCATCGTGCCCGCGCTCCCCAGGCCACGACGATCTCTGGCAGAAGCAACCAGGGTCCGCGCTCCCAGGGCCACGACACCAAGGGAACAAACAAACTGCGTGTCCGCGCTTTCGAGGCCACGATGCTTGCGACGAACAAGACCGTGGATAAGCGCGCCCCAGAGACCACGATCCCTTTTGATTGAAAGATCGATGGGAGCGCGCTCCCCCGAGGCCACGGCCCCTCCCAACAGAAACAAGGAATCTGGTCCCCGAACCCGCCAGCCGCTCAGCCAGCATTCCAACCAGCCAGCGAGCCAGCCCTCCGCCAGCCCCCCAGCCAGCCAACCTGACCACCGTCCGAGCAGATAGCGAGCCAACCAGCCGAGCTGCCAGCCTGCCAACCAATCCGCCAATGAACCAACCAGCAAAATCGACTCAGTCCAGCAGGCAATCAGGGCGGCCCGCGACAGAGGGCGAATACCATCAACCATGCCGCAAAACCATTCCATGCTGGTGGTATTTTCGGGCCTTCGGGGGTACCTCGTGGAGCCCTTCCTAGCCCTGTGGGACCGTCTTGGGGCCTTCTGCAGGATTTCTCGGGGCATGCTCGGGAGATCTTGGGGCCCTCTCCGCGTGGGTCTCTCCCAAGGAGCCCGTCAAGAGCCGCCCGAAGCCGTGGGATAGGGGATCCCCGAGGCTGCACTGTGGGCTGCGGAGGAGCTAGAAGTGCCCCTGCCCAAGGTGCCCCCAGGATCTCCAGGGAGGAGCGACAAGCTGGGGACACCTTGGGCCAGGGGCACTTCTAGCAACACTCAGCTATGGTTGGGTCGGGCATGTCCTCATATAGGCGGATTTTGGAAGAGAGATAAAAGACAATACATGAATGACCAACAAATGATCCAAAGAGCACAGAAAATCGTCAACAAGCTATTCTTTAACTGTTCTGGAATATTCCTCCTGTAGAGGGACGTGCCCCCGACTGGGGCCTATTGGGAGCCCGCCGGGCCCATCGGAGGGAGAGAGGTGCGCCGGGTGGCCGAGAAGAGGCTAGTGAGATACATGTCTCGTGCACGCTGGACCCAGCATACGGCCAAGGATGCGCGGTAAGGATGCAAGATCCTGAGAGGGCCATGTTGACGTTTTTCGAACGAGGCTGGCCACCGAGCGTTATCAAGGATGGGCCGACGGGACAAGGATGCGAGGGCAGACTTGGAACGTCGCTCATCCTTACTATGACACTGTGAATGGGCGAGGGCGGTTAGTCCTGTGTAAGGTCCTATATCATAATTTTTTATTGGCCGAATCGCCCGTGGAGGCCCTATCGAATTAAGGTATTGGGCAAGATTTACGAGAGGGAGTATATTCCAGGAGAGGCTCCGATTCAAACCCGGATCTGGTCCCACAAGGACATTTCCTGAATTCTTGGCCCCGTCCTTTCTGCAGACGAACCCAATTTCAATTTCGTATCCTCATAAAACCGGATGAATACTACTGATGACCCCGGGTTCCAGCTCCGCCTTCCGCATTTGGCCGAGCAGCGCAAACGCCCGCTGCCACTGCTCGCCATTCTCGCTTATGGCAGAGTTGAAACAAATCACGTCCAGCTCCAAGGTCACCTCCTTTATCTCTGCGAGCAGTGCAAAAGTTCGCTGCCACTGCCCGCCTTTCTCACACGCGCTGATCCCACCGCTGTAGCTGCTTACTGTGGGGTCCAACTTCGCCTTCCATATCTCGCTGAGAAGCGCCAAAGCCTGCTGCCACTGCTTGCCCTTCTCGCACGCGCTGATCCCAGCGCTGTAGCTGACCAGGGCTGACCCGTGGACCACCGTCCACAACAGCGCGTGTATGGATATAATCATAGGCTGCCTGACCTCTGGAAAAACGAACGTGTGGGGGGCATGTTGCGGCCAAGCGCTGCCTAAGAGGGGCTCGCATTCGGAAGACGGCGCCGCAGAAGAAACATAAAAAAACACCCTCAGAAACTGGACAGCCAGAGGTAATTGTAGTACAAGGCGCAAGAACATAAACACGTAAGCAAGCCTCAACATACGATTGGCTACTGCACAACCAGAAAAGAAAGCGGGCCACTTCCTTCTCTGTCCCGCGTGAGGCTCGGGCCGGCTGGTTCTCGAACCGCCAGCGACTGCACCACGGCCAGAGGACGGCTTGAATCGCTGGCCTTCTTGCCTGTTCGCCTGCTATCCTGCTTGCGTAGTTGCTAGCATTGTGAGCTGGTGACGCTTGCCCCGCTCGCCTGCTGTATGCTTCGATCGCTTCATCGTCCGCACCCCCGCTCGCTGCAGCCAGACGACCGTCTGAAGCTGGCTTGGCTTCTGGCTAGGGCCAAGGCGACCTTGCCACTAGCTTGAACTCTCACACGGTGACCCCGGCACTGTAGTAAGGATGACGTTGGGCTTCATTCTCGCAGCCCACATCTCGCCCAGTAGCGCCAAAGCCCGCTGCCACTGTTCGCCTTTCTCGCACGCGCTGATCCCCGCGCTATAGCTGACATGTGTGTGTGTGTGTGTGTGTGTGTGTGGTGTGTGTGTGCGTGTGTCTGCGCGTGTGTGATGAAGTGTTGCTTGTTTATGTGTGCGCCTGCGCGTGATGCAAATTCGCGTACGATGTGGTCATCTGGTAGGGCTCAGCCAAGTGGTAACACAGGTGATTGATGGGCTGGGTGGGCGCGTCCTGGGCCGCATTGAGACACTTGCGGCGTGCTGCAGTCATAGTTGACTCATGCCTGTGGAACTGCCGCCTGCTGTCAAATACGTAGTTATGTTTGCTGCTGTTGTTTGCTGCTTCTGCGGCTGCTTGATCTGACATCGTGTCTTCAGGGCGTAGCGGAGTGCCCCAAGGCTCATCGGTGCGTTGTAAGTGTTCAAGGGGTTCGCTTGATAGCCCCGATCCAGGGTTTCCCGGGCGCTCCTGGGAATTTCTGGAGTGTGTCGCGTGAGCTCTCTGCAGGCTGAACTCTCTGGCCCAAACTATCCCCAGAACCTCCAAGAGGCTCACAAAAGCCCCCCAGACGGTCCACGAGTACCCCGAGACGGCCCAAGAGCGCCCCATGCCCACGATAGCCTCAAAACAACCCGGTAGGCCCCCAAAACGCCCCAATTGGGCTCCGAGAGGCCGCCCCAGAATGGCCTCACGAGGCAACAACCGTACATGTTCCTTCAACTTCTGCAAGATCTGGGCGTTAGCGCTTTCTGGGCTTCCGGCGCTCCATGGCGATCGCCCCAACACGGCCCACGAGGCCCCCAAGAGGACACCACGAAATCCCAAAGACGGCCGAGGAAGCGCCCAAAGGAGAGCCCCAAGAGGGAAAGCACACATTGAAATTTCGAGCCTTCCGCCCCAGAAGGGGCTCCCGAGAGGTCCCAAGACACCCCAACACTGCATCCCAGAGAGGCTTCTGGGAGGCCTCCCACGAGATTTCAACAGGTATCCAGGAGGACTCCGAGCCATAACCAAGGCGCGGTGGCGGGATGGGCTGAAGGCCACTAGATCCGCCGCCCCCTGTTGATTTATCAAAGGGGTGCCTGGCATGCCGACCATTTGACTATTACGATCGATTTTTACCTAACAGCCTTTGCTGATAGGTTTCTAGTAGTGTCAAAAGAGAGCACATCTTGACGCCCCAGGGGGTTCTGGGCGGGATCCGGACAAAACCGGAAAAAACCGGCAGCCCCAGGAATCCGAAGGAATCCTGAGGAATTATTAGGAATCCTCAGGAATCCATTTCCAGAACACCATTCCCAGGCCACATTTTGAATGCCCCGAGCCAACTGTAGGCCACTTCGTGTTCTTCGTGTTCCCAGAACACCATTCCCAGGCCACATTGCGAATGCCCGGAGCCAGCTGTAGGCCACTTCGTGCTCTTCGTGTTCCCAGAACACCATTCCCAGGCCACATTTTGAATGCCCGGAGCCAACTGGAATCCGTTAGGGTTCTTTGTGTTCCCAGAACACCATTCCCAGGCCACATTTGGAATGCCCGGAGCCAACTGTAGGCCACTTCGTGTTCTTCGTGTTCCCAGAACACCATTCCTGTACTATATTTTGAATGCCCGGAGCCAACATGGGCCACTTCGTGTTCTTCGTGTTCCCAAAACACAAATCCTGTGCCATATTTTGAATGCCAGAGCTGAGGCAGGCTGAGGCCGCGGCAGGCTGAGGCCGAGGCAGGCTGAGGCTGAGGCTGAGGCACGCCGAGGCAGGCTGAGGCTGAGGCTGAGGCAGGCTGAGGCTGAGGCAGGCTGAGGCTGAGGCTGACGGCTGAGGCTGAGGAGGCTGAGGCAGGCTGAGGCTGAGGCCTGAGGCTGAGGCTGAGGCTGAGGCTGAGGCTGAGCAGGCTGAGGCTGAGGCTGAGGCTGAGGCTGAGGCTGAGGCTGAGGCTGAGGCTGAGGCTGAGGCTGAGGCTGAGGCTGAGGCTGAGGCTGAGGCTGAGGCTGAGGCTGAGGCTGAGGGCTGAGGCTGAGGCAAGGCTGAGGCTGATGCAGGCTGAGGCTGAGGCGAGGCAGGCTGAGGCTGAGGCCGAGGCAAGCCGAGGCAGGCTGAGGCTGAGGCTGAGGCTGAGGCTGAGGCTGAGGCTGATGCTGAGGCAGGCTGAGGCTGAGGCTGAGGCAGGCTGAGGCTGAGGCATGCTGAGGCTGAGGCCGAGGCAGGCTCAGGCCGAGACAGGCTGAGGCTGAGACTGAGGCTGAGGCTGAGGTTGAGGCCGAGGCAGGCCGAAGCTGAGACAAGGTGGGGCTGAATGGGGGGGGAAAGGGGGGGAGGAGGGGAGGCTGAGGCAGGCTGAGGCCGAGGCAGGATGAGGCCGAGGCAGGCTGAGGCTAAGGCTGAGGCAAGCCGAGGCAGGCTGAGGCTGAGGCTGAGGCTGAGGCTGAGGCTGAGGCAGGCTGAGGCTGAGGCAGGCTGAGGCTGAGGCTGACGCAGGCTGAGGCCGAGGCAGGCTGAGGCTGAGGCTGAGGCAGGCTGAGGCTGAGGCCGAGGCAGGCTGAGGCTGACGCTGAGGCAAGCCGAGGCAGGCTGAGGCTGAGGCTGAAACTGAGGCAGGCTGAGGCATGCGTAGGAATCCATAGGAACCCTTAGGAATCCCTAGGGATCCTTAGGAATCCGTAGGCATCCTCAGGAATCCGTAGGCATAGTTAAGCATCATCAGGAATCCTTAGTTAAGCATCATCAGGAATCCTTAGGAATCCTTGAGATTCCCTAGGAATCCTTAGGAATCCCTAGGAATCCCTTGGAATCAGGTTTCCTAAGGATTCCTATGGATTCCTAAGGATGCCTAAGGATACCTTAGGAATCCCTAGGAATCCTTAGGATTCCATTGGATCATAAGGCCGTTGCCACTGCGACTGTCATTGCGAATGCGACTGCGACTGCGAGAACAGCAGAATTCTACAACTGGATTCTCACCTGAATCTTAAGGGGAATGCTTCCAGATATGCTTATACACATCGCTGTTAGGTTGCTTTGCCGGGATAACTATTATATTATAAAAATACTCCTTAATTATAATATAGAAAGACTCAAGGTTCCCTCCTCCCAGACGCCCCATCGCCAGCACCGTTTCCGCGTCTGTTTGCGCGGCCCGGGAGGATTCCCCCGCCGTGGCGCGGCCTCAGAGGATTCCCCAGCCGTGGCGCGGCCCTAGAGGATTCCCCAGCCGTGGCGCGGCCCTCGAGGATTCCCCAGCCGTGGCGCGGCCCTCGAGGATTCCCCGGCCGTGGCGCGGCCCCCAGGGAGCTCGCAGGCGCGACTCGGCAGAATGGACCAGATCGCGATCTATACCATTGTGACGAGAAGGGGGGCGGCTGGACCAGATCTCGATTTAGCCCAAACCAAATCGTGAAACAGTCCAAGAGGTTTTAGCTCAAACGGACTAGATCACGATCTAATCCAAAACAAATCGAGAATCAGTCCATTATTCAGGAGGCCCCAAGAGGCGAAAGCAAGGAAAGGGTAGGGGCTCAGGGTACATGTTCCTCCTCTGACTCTTGGCGCCGTCTTGAAGCCTCTGGGGCCCGTCTTCCGAGCCTCTGGACATCAGGAAGCCCGGGTAGCCAGCCACGTCTGGAGGCCGAAGCGGAGGTTGGCCGAGGGGGCCCTGCTCGGAGAGCCGTCCCCCTGGAGCTCTTTGGAGGGCCACCTCGGCGCCGTCTTGGGACGTCTTGGGCCCGGCCTGGGGGGCAGGCGCCTTTGGTCCGTGGCCGCTCGCTTCAAGACTAGCCCTAGAAGTCACAAGACGTCGACGTCGGCATCGTCGTCGTGGACGTCTTCGTCGTCGTGTTCGCTGCCATCGTCGTCGTAGTGGTCGTGGTCCTGGTCCTGGTCGTGGTCGTGGTCGTGGCTGTGATCGTGGTCGTGTTCGGGGTCGTGGTAGTCGTCGTCGTCGTCGTCGTCGTCGTCGTCGTCCTCGTCGTCGTCGTCGACGTCGTCGTCGTCGCGCTCGCTGTCGTCGTCGTCGTCGTAAAGGTCGCGGTCTTGGTCGTGGCCGTGGTCGTGGCCGTCGTCGTCGTCAAGACTAGCCCAAAAGTGGTTGCCCCCTAAATTGGCGGGCAAGCACTTTTGGTCCGCGGCCGCTTGACTCAAGCAGCGTTCGAGCGACGGAGTGGCGCTCACGAGGCGAATAGAGCAAGTCCGGCGGTCAGCATGCCCGCGCTAATCTGCCACCTCAGGCGGTGCTAGAAAGGTCAGCGGCACCCGCCTGAGCGCTGCGGGCCCAGGCGAGGCGCCAACCTCCACAAGTTTCGGGGCTCCAAAGAGGGTCTACCTTGAGGACGGCGGATGGCCCGAGGCGAATGGAGGCACTAAATAAATGCGGCGGGAGGCGGAGGGGGCGCGGGGGACGGGACCCTGCGCCTTGGGCAGTTTTGGGGAATGCGCCCAGCCACGTACAAAAATATGGCCCTCCAGTCCGCGACACCAGCCTCGCGACACGAACGCTCGCGCGATGCGTTCCTTCGAAGCCAACATGGATTCGTGTACGTCTAAGTCCCTCTTTCGATCCTGAATGTTTTACAGCAAGAGTGTTTGAAGGAAAAAGCCGCTGAACGCACAGCGATTTGCCTACTGGAGGCAAATTTGTCTGTCAAAAAGTAAGCCTTCAATGTTTGCCTTCAGTCTGGCCGGCGTGTGCGCATACTGGAGGCCCTCATCGGCCGCATGAGGCCACTGGACAGCTTCACTGTGCGGCCTGATGGCGTCGTAATGAAGGCGCCCGGGAGCGCGCCCGGCCCAGTGGGCCGGCTTTTCAGTTACGTGGGTATGGCGTCCGTCTCGCACACACTGCGCTCCGCTCTGTAGGAGATATGACAGTGGGCTTCAGCTTGACCAACCACATCTCGCTCAGCAGCGCCAAAGCCCGCTGCCACTGCTCTCCCTTCCCGCACGCGCTGATCCCAGCATTGTAGCTGACTCGGGTGGTCCCGTGGATGAAACTCATGGCAGTCAGATGAATATGCTGTCCAGGACTCCTTGGTGCAAGGGACGGGGTTCAGAAGAAACGGGGCTCGAAGAGAGGGTCTTGGGGCTTGCTTGTGCCTGTATGGGGCCTCCTTGTGGCTGTGCTGGGCCCTCTTGGGCCGCGGTCTTGGGACGGCCTGGAAGCCATCTAGAATTTATCTTAAAGCAGATTGGGACCATCTGGACCAGTCCAGGGCCAGGCAAGCAAGGAGGCCATCAGCACTCAAGCCACAAGTACTGTCAGTGCTTTTCGCCGACCAGAGACATCTTTGAATCGTTGTCGGTTCTGTCGTCGGGCCTCTAGGGGAGCATGCCGGGGTATCGGGCCCGCCTCGGCGGGTGCTGGGACCATGACGAGGCAACCTAGGAGCATCTTTGCACGCGTCTTGGGGCCCCTTGGGCCTCCCGAGACCGTCTGGGGCACTATGGCGACCGTCTTGGGGCAGCCCTGGCTTCATTGGACCGTGAGGGGTGGTCGAGGGGTGGTCAACGGGGCTGTCTTGCGGCTGGACCGTGTTGGGGCAGTCAGGAGCGATTTGTAGGCGACATTGGGACTCCATTGAGCTGTCTTGGACGCACATAGGCCCGTCACGAGGAGGATGAGGAGCAGCAGGACAAGGAGAAAAGGAGGAGGAGGAACGATAAGATACCTTGATGTTATCCTTGGCCATGTTGGGGCCTATTGGGAGTGCGCGGTGTGGTCGTTTGGGGCCTTCTGGAACTTCCTGGAGGCTGCGCGGAGACCGTCGACGAGAAGAGGCCGTGAGGGCCGAAGCAATTAAAGGTCTCCTGGAGGTCATGTTCGGTTCGGCTCTTGTGGGGATTTATTGTGGACCCCTTGGAGCTCCCTAGGGCGAGCTTCGGGACCTTCTCCTCTCTGGCGGCCCTCTGGGATTGTGTCAGACTGGGGGGGGATCTCTCCACATCCTCTATTTGACTGATCGGGGCCGTCAAAGGGCGCCCTCGTGTGGCCGTCATCAGGGTCCTCCTGGGCCCTCTTGGGCCGTCCAGGTGGCATCTTGGGCCGTCCTGGGGACATGTTGGGGGTCTCGGACCATCTTGGAGCTCGCTTTGGTGCTTGTTGGTGCTTTGGGGCTGACTTCGGGGCCAGCGGGAGCTCTGTGAGACTGTCTTGGGCTTCTCTTGAGCAATCTTCGGGCTCTCTGGGGCCGTCTTGGGTCTCTTGGCCAGGCCATGGCCCTTGAGCCGTCTGGGGCCGTTCTTGACCCGCAATGGCAAGAGCACGGAAAACTTTCAAGAACACAAGAAAAATCAATGAGTTTGGCCTCGGGGCACGGTCAGTGGGGTCCAGTTCGGCCGTTTTGGGAGGCACCTGGCCCGTCGTCGGGCCGTCTTGGGCTGTCGTGGGGCGCCGTTCGGGTCCTCTTGGGCCGTCCCCGCGCACTCCAGAGTGTCTCAGATTTGTCCTGGCTGCTTGCATGAATGGGGCCGTGCAAACGCAGTTGTTTTTGAGCCTTCTAAAGAAAGTTTGCACATTGTCTCGCGGAGCCGGCCGGCAGGAAGCAATTTCAAAATTTTAGGTGTCGACTTCGACTGTAAATTTATAATGACAGATGCGGTGCAGAGCTGTGTGCACGAGTGTGGCTGGAGGCTGCAATCTCTAATGCGCACGCGGCGTTTCCACACAGACGCCGAGCTTGTCTTGTTATATAAAGCACATATTCTATCATTCATCGAATACAGAACTTGTGCTTTCACACATGCCTCTAGCTCCGTCTTGGCTTCTTTGGATCGAGTTCAAAGCTCGTTTCTCCGCAGTGTGGGAATTTCTGATTTAGATGCACTCCACCACTTTAAGTTAGCTCCTTTGTGTTCTCGAAGAGACATAGCCAACCTGGGTCTCATTCACAGGACTCTTCTTGGGGCCGGCCCGGCTTGTTTTAAATAATTCTTCCAACTTGACTCGTCTCCTGTCCCCCTCCGCGCTCCTCCCAGGCATTCCCGTCATGTGGCCGATCCGTGCCCTGCCCGGGCTCCAGATTATGTAATTCGTTCCACGTTGGGCGGCGCTCGCATGTACAATCTTCTCCCTGAGAGCGTTGTCAGCGCCCAGGACGTGAAAGTATTCCAACGTCTACTGTCTGAACTTTTGTGTTTTGCCTCAGGTCAGGTTGCGTCCTGGCCACAGCTGTTTTCGTGGCGTCTGCCGCTCGCCTTCCACGAAGTGCGCCGCTTTCGAAACTGGCGCCCGGCGGCCTGATGGCCCTTGTGGGGTGCCCAGGCGGTTTTTTCTTGAGATAGCCACGTACATTTTATTTTTTTCTGCGTCTCTTCTTCTTCCTTCCTTTCGTCTCTGTTCTTCTTCGTTCCCGTCCTTGTCTTTTCCCCTGTTTTTCTTCTCGTTTTCGTTCGTTCTCCTTTTCTTGTCCTCGTCTTCGTTTCTTGCTTGGCTCGTTGCCTGCTGCTGCCGTCTGTCGTCGTTCTTCTGCCTCCTTCCCTTCCTCTTTCCGCTTCCTCTGGCCGCCTGCGTGGAGCGCAGGGCGCGCGCGCTGCGCGGTCGCCGTGCCGTGGGCTTGTGCCCTTCTCCCCCCCTCTCCCCTTTTCTCCCTCCCTCTCTCTTTCTTCGCGTTGCTTCTCGTTGCTGTCTGCTTTCTCTGCTCTTGTTCTCTTCTTTCTTGCTCTCTCTCTCTCTCTCTCTCTTTTCTGGTCTTTCTCTTGCTCTTCTCTTCTCTTTTTTCTTTTCCTTGTCCTCCTGCGTCTTCCCCGCCGGCCTGCCGAGCAGGCTTCGGTGGCCCCGTAGGAGACAGGCTTTTTCCCACCCTGGATGCAACTTTTTATTTCGATGTGACTTGGTGAAGATAATTGCGCTGCAGAGGTCCGATAGGGAAAAAAAACCCAGTCCTACTGGCGTTGATCGTGGATTTCGCAGCGATAAAATAAGAGCCCTGCCATTGCGCGCCTTTGTTTCCAGCAAAAACTAGGAAATCACGAACAGCTTTTTCTGACACAAATTCAAGGAATAATGCCTTCGAAACGTCTGCGAATTGAGAACGCCCCAAAACATGATCTATTGAAACTGCTCGCACCCAAATATTCACGAAAGGATCTTATCAAGATCGGCCATGCGCTGCTGTAGGTCGGAAAATCAAAACCCGATAGCGATCTGAAAAATTGAAGACGTTCATGCTGCTGATCATGCCGGCTGGAAAAAATAACCGTTGTTGATGAAGTATCCGGACGAAAAAAAAAATAAATAAACTGCACAATCATAATTTTTACCATCCTGATGAAAACAAGAATCAGAAAACAAAACTCGCCCACGTGATTCTTACAAAAAAATCTGTATCTCCCCAATAATCTCTTGCATTCAATATTTCTGGTATTTGGGTGGAATCGATTTTATTTTTCTTAAAATATATTATTTCAGAATCATATTCAATACATACTAGAAATCTGAATATATTATGTTGATTCTTCAACGGGGCCCCTTTCATGGAGCCACGACATCTGCGAGGGGTTTGCCGAAACGGGCGCAACGGGTGCACGCGAACGCTGACAATTGAGTCTTCGGCGGGCTTCCTGTGGAACCACGAAACGTGTGAAGGCGTGTGAAAATGGACGCAACGGGCACACGCGAACGCTGGCGCGGGTTTAATAAACATTAGCAATAGTATCGGTAATAACAATGGAAATTTGTAGCTAATGGTCGGTTAAATTGAGGATGACAAAAAACTTGGCATTCTGAAAACGAAATTCAAGCGTGATCGGCTAATTTCAATTATCGTTACAAATGCTGACGATTTCTCAACTTAACTTAATCTATACATTAACTACAAAACTGATACGTTCTTCTGATCGATGGTCCAACGCTCGACTTCAATATACCGACATGTTTTGATTCGGTTCGCACCAAACTATCTTACCAATTCGAACTACAAATAAATACAAATCTCTTTGGCATTTTTATCCGAACACATGACGTAAACAAACTCACGAAAACATGTATATACAAAATGAAAAGAATGCATCAACAAAGAAACGTTCCGAAGAATAGATGTCAAATTTCCTCGGAACACCACCATGTCCACTTTTTTTGTTCCTATTTGTTTCACGTTGTGAAGCATTGCTAAATGAACGCATATAGAATTTGGCGCGGAAAAGACAGTAGAGAGTGGGCGGGGAGAGTAATTATTTTTATTGAAGTTCAGCATGTTCGTTTTTTGTGTCTTTTTAAATGGTTTTTTGTGAATTGGTTTGGATTTTAGTGTATTTCTGGTACGTGATTCATTGAATGTTGATACAGATATCTGTGCTATGGAGAACCAGCGTCGATTGACAGACTTCGGAAGTGGAAGTGTTCCGTGATTTTTAGAAGATGTTAATGTTCATCAGAGATATTGTTTTCGGTGATTCAGTCACCAGAAGGTACGCATTTACAGCGTGTTGTTTAAAAAGAAGAACTACTTATGTGTGCAGCCCCCGCTCACACAGTGTTCATTATTATAAACGATTTTGAGATGTTCGCGAATCCTTAAGAGTAGAAGTTCTAAGCGAGATTACAGATCATTGGGTTCTTCAATTTTTCGTTGTGTTCCTTTTACGGTCGACGTTCAGGTGCAATTTTTGGTTTCACCTAGTATCAAATGACGCAGATTAAACGCATTTAAGATTAGATATTCAATTTGAAGTCAGATTTTGCACAATTCACGAATTTCTTGTTTTGAGTTGTTTCTTGTTGTATCTATTCAGTTTTTTTTTTCTGTATGCGTTTGTGTTGCGCGTTATGTTTTGTCCAACGCAGGTTTTAAAGGTTTGTGCGCAGGAGTTGGCAGTATTAGTTATTTAATCATGCGATCATTTTTAGCACGCGGCAGGTGGTCAGAGGTTTGGTGTTCATTGGATGTTTCCATGGTCTCAGAAAGGGTTTGGTTTTAGGTGTCGAATTGTAATGTTTATTCGTAGCATTGTTTTTTCCCGGCTTGAGAGA